AAGCCACTATCAAAAACTTGGGATGTCCTGGGGAGGGCATATGGTTTCCCAGAACATAGGCTTTTTTTAATAGATTTCTGCTAATGCACCTGAGCCTCCCAGGGGATTAATTGCTCAATAAAACTAACTCACCCTTCGTGCCTATTCAGGCTGTAGTTTCTCAGCTGCAATTTCTGCAGGACAGTTCTGGAAAGATGGAGGGGATATTATTCCATGGAGAAGAACTGGGTCAGTAATTCACTGTCAAAGATCAGGTGACAAATCAGTCCTGAGGACTCTAGAGCCACTGAATGGACAATTAAGGGCTCAAGATCCTCTTACAGATTTCCTAAGCAAGCAGCTTTCTACAAGTTAGAAACAAAGCACATCTCAGTGTCACTCTACACTATACATGCACACTTACATTGCCACATTTGCCTGTGTGGGGGACTCTGAATGCTTGACAACATAGAATAAAAAGTAGCCCCAAGAGATGTCTTATAAACAAGACTGAGTCTGTGCTGCTGTGTGCGAGTACTTACTGCAAGCCAGTTTACATGTATACAAGAGCTCATATCTATGCCAAGGGAGCAGGGACAACCACAACTTTCACGGGCAAGGACAAGCCATGTGTTCAGTCCCTGCCCTGCATTCTCCTGGCTAACACCCCCAGACGCTCCAGAAGGCTGTATCTATACACACCTAAAACTCTACTGTTTTTTTTTTTTTTAAACAGATGTCCCAAAAAATGAAGATGAAGGAGAGTTAAACTGTAAGTATTAAAAATATACTATCATGCTTGTCTCAGGAATGACTTAACTTTACAGATTTGGTGCTTGTGTTAGCACAAACCTTTGGATTAGACTTCCTACCCTTGTAGAGACTCAAGCATGTAAAGCCCTTCTCTTGAGGCCTGTATCACCGGAAACAGTCTGAGAGTTTCAGTTCCTGGAACTGCTCTTTCAACAGCTCAGGCCAAAGGACCTGACAAATCAATATAAGTGCGCACGCTACTACCACCCTCCCTTCCTGATCTGTAATGCTATGCTACATACTGTGCTGCAGCTACTGCTGTTATCAGGACAGATTGGTTATACTATAATCCAAGCAGAGCCAAACATAGGAGACTTGTTTTAAATGCTGATTTTCATGTCTGAACAACTGTGACCATTTCATGTCAGTACACAGCTTCAAATGGTTGTTCTCTGCCCTGTTGGTACCACATCCTAGAAGGTCTTCAGCTGAGAGGGATGAACATCACTTGCTTCACATCCATGAACCTGAGCCTAGTGAAAAAAGGAAGCATGCTTGTGTTATTATAAGCAAGGCCAGCAGCTAGTTTAGCAATTCATTTCTCCATTCATATCGGGAGGAAATAAAAACAGGGAAAAACAAGTCCAAGAAAATTTACAAAAACAAACTCAGCACAGAGGACTTGTGAGAGCACAGAGAGGGTGAAATATCTCATTTGGTAGTTTCTACTGAGGGACGTGAGTGTTTCATGGGGGTCTCTGAGGAATGGGCAGAAAATACTATGCCTCCACCAGAACTGTAGCAGTGAGAGCAACAGTAGCAAATGCTGCATGTGTGCCCAGTTCACAATAGCAAATGGAAGCAGAATGACCCCTAGATTAAAAAATGCTTAGAATTTCTTTTATGGTCATGCAAACTGGGTGAGCTGTCAGTTGTTTTCCAGACTCATCACACCATTCCAGTCTCATCTACAGCCGTTTGTTTGCTTAACATCAACAGGCTGTTTCCTGCTAGTATAACACAGTAAGAAGAATGGAGTTTCTCCTTCAGATAAGGAGACATCCTCTCCTTTCGTTTCCGTGATATGCATTAACATAAATCCAGCCGTTTGTTTAAGGTCATTTTCTTCCTCTCCTAACTTCGGCCAAGCTGCCTTTAATCAGACTTAGATTAAACTTAGCCCCTAAGTAGAAAAGCCTCTGTGATATAAATAAATGTAAATATTTATTTTATATTGAAGGCTGCATTAGTTTGATTTGTTTATTAGCAACAAAATGAAGACACTGTCCCTCCAGACACTCCTTTCCTTGGCTCAACTTTGTACCAGCTGTGGAAGAGTAGGTGGGACATCAATTTTGGAGGGTTTATTGCTATCAGAAACCCATGAAGATTGTTTTCTGCCAAACGACGCATGTAAGGCATAGGAGACAACATAACCCTAAATCCTTTGGGCATCTGAATTTAAGGGCAAAGCCAAAGAAATGAGAAAGATCTAGGGAATGTGATCTCTATGACAGTCTAATTGTGTGTATTTGTTTAGGCTGGGGAAAGCAAGGTTGAGCAGGGACACAGTAACAACCCTCTTCAGAGTGTCTGCAAAGAGATGGGAAGAAGTCATTTATCATCCCAACCCAGTAGACACATCTCTTAGCATACAACAGGATTAAACTACAGCAACAGAAATTTAAGTTAGATATGAAGAAAAAAAAACTTTCTAAGAGTATGGGTAGCTGAGCACCAGGGTAGAGAGTCTATCGAGGTTCCATCACTATAGTTTTGTTACTGTTACCTTGTTTTTTCTTAAAAATCATAAAAAAGAAGTATCTAGAGACTATGTAAAAATAGCTGGTGCTACTTTGGGGCAAAAATATAGGCTCTTCTTTCTCCAAGCAATGATTTTGGAAAAATTCTGTCTCATTTTAATTATTTATTGAGATTTTCAAGGGAGTTGTGTGTATTAGATAGGGAGTAACACACTGCAGGGATCACACTGGCAAGGACAGCCATAGTAATCTGCTTTTCAATGGTGATAAGTATTTTTTTTTTGCTGTTAGTAGTTCAACTCAGTGAAGAAGCTCAGACTGTGTAATGAGGTGGGGGGAAATCATGAATACCACAACAAAAAAGAAGAGCCAACTGAGACTAGCTTTGCTGTTACAAAGAAAAGAGATCTAGAAACCATGGGAAGGACAAGCCAGAAAGAACAGTAACTTCATCCTGCTGAGGCCAAACCCTGCAGATGCCTTACAGTCAGTAGTGCAGGATGCTCCTGCGAGGAAGAACTTGGAGCCAAGTTGTTGCTGATGTTCTGATTTGCTTTCTGGGAGAATTCCTCCAGTGACTGTAGAGGAGCCTCAGGGAAAGCTGATTTCACTGCAACCAAGACTAGGCTTTGTGTATCTTTACTTAGGAGAAACTTAAATCAACCGTGACACCGACATGGCTGCACAGGGAGATGAATGTTGTCAGGAGAACAATTTCTGAAGGAAGAGAAACACTTGCAATTTATAGCACAAGAGCCAAGGCAGGCTTTGCCTAGGCAGAGAGCCACTGACGTGCTAGGCATCCAGGCAGGCTAGCAAGAGTTCACACCCAGGCTGATTTTCTCACAGCAGCATTAGCTTTTATCTAAAGTGGAAGACCCTGTTTTGGTAAACATTCAGCAGAGAATAACATGTTAGTATCAAATGAATTTAAAGACAGCTGCCTAATATTACTACATGTGTTGAACCCAGTCACAGCAACTCTTACTTTGGCAGGACTTGATCTACATATAAATCTTTTACATATCTTGATAGATACCTATCTTTTATATAGCTTTGCAGCACATTCTGCCGATTATGTAGGAAAAGTACAACTCTGTCATCTGATAAATTCTCTTTTCTAAAGAAAAATTGTTTTGTTTTTACAGCACCTGTCTAAATGGGAAGTCTACCAAGAACTTGGGCAGCTTGACTTGCCTTAAGAGAAGCATCACCCCTTATCTCGGTGGCAGCATTACTTGTGATACAAGTGACAGCAGTTGCTGAAATGTGTGCCAAGATAGATGGCAAAAAGCTTCTTCAGAAGAAGAGAGCAAAATCTGCTGGACATTTGTGCCAAGCAGCAGTTGCATCAACTCACCATCTAACCACTTCAGGCCATCTTTTGTGATAGTCTGGTGGTGTTTTGAGCTCCTGCACTGGGGAAAATAGTGTGTCTTGGACTAAACTACTCTGTGCCAGTCGGGCGGAACTTGGTGAATGTCCAAGTCTACCCTCATCATCAACTCGGAACAATTTCTTGCCAGCAGAAGCAACTTGTTTCATGAGCATGGGAAATTTCTCTCTGTTTCTCATTACTCTGACAGAGACTATTGAACATGAAGAATGGCAGCTAGGAAAAAAAAAGGCATAAAAGCAAAAAAAGAAAAGAAAAATGCAGGACTTTCTGCGATGAGATATGTGAACGTCTCTCCATCTTTCTCTGTGTACATCTTTTTGCTCTACTCGTCTGGTTTCACCAGCTGCATGTTACTGTGTACAGAACTAGCTAGAAACTTTCACCCGAGTCCTATAAAAGTGGGAGTCGCTGTGAATAGGTTAAACACTGAAGGCATTAGCATGAGGAAGCCTTCTTTAAGTGCACTTGTTGTTAACATTTTATTCTTTACCAAATATTATACCAAAATGGGGACTTCCATTTTTGATAAAAGCCGATGCATACTATGTGAAAGAATGGTTTGTGGAAATCAGATAGACTGTGGTAAAAATAGTGCTATCTCTGCTATGTTAATGTCAAACTATCCAGACACAGCCTTTAGGGATGGAACAAAAGCTGTGGTTTGGCTCTGCTCAGTTCGGCTGCTCTCTATTTAATCACTGTTTTGTGACTTCCAATGAGGATTTTAAGCTGATATTTTCTCCCCTCTCCTGTCTCATCCTTCTACCCCCCACCTCCCCCAAAAAAGGGTGAGTACAGTCTATATCTCTGCACTAGCCATGAATATTCTTTACTTACAAGCAAGTGAAAGGGAAAGAAGGCCAAAACCTGCAATTTCCATGTGCCAGAACATGTCCAGCTGACTCAGCCCCTATTCTTCAGCCAGGAGCAGTAGGTTAAAAGTAGTAAAGCAGTAAAATTTGTTCATGCATAAAGTTTTGAAGGAAGAGGAAATTGTACTGCTCCCATTGACTTAGCTGGGTCTATTCTTGCCAGCTTGTGAAGTTTCTTTGTTTCTGAGCCC